ACACTCCTAACATATTCTATGTTCTACTCCAAGTATAATTTACATGTTTTTCAAACCTGGTTGGCAAAAAATGTCTTATGATCAAACAATAAACACATTTTGACAATAATGTAAAGTATGTCCATAGTTCCATACTTACAGTGAAATTAAGGGGCGTATATTTGAGTATACGTACTGTATCCATTTTACACCAAAAAAATAAACGCCTCATTCAAACACCTCCCTCAAATTATCCCCTCTCAAAATCCCTTCTCAACTATTGAATAAATACAGTACTAGTAGTAGTTGTCTATAGTTTTACAGTATAAAAGAAAAGGGCAGGGAGATGTAACAAAAGAAACTGTACTTTATAAACCAGAAATATCTTAATGTTTAGGGCAGTATAGTTTATAATCTTATTGTACATACAGTACCGGTACTTACAAATGAAAACCAAATTACATTTTTTTTTTTTAAGAAAACATTTCATTCATTTACATTACAAGGCATTCTTAATTGGATATTTCCTTGCCAGTGGCTTTGGAAATAATGGAAAAAATCATTCCACCTCAAAAATTTCATCATTTGCAGGTGTTAGTAAAATGTTGTTCATTATCTTCAATAATGCCTCTAAATCAATAATCTTGCAACAATGACATAAACCATGGTCACCTACACTGTACAGTAAAGATGTACAAATTGCAATGAAAAGGTAGGCCTATCTGTAGCACTCAGATTTCAGCCAGTGTGTCTGCACTCCCTGGTCAATTTACAGTCACAGTAAATAATATGCTCAATAGCAATATTGACCAGACCACAGCTGTTCTGGACTATGATAATGCATTAAGAAGATAAAATATTGTAGCGGGTAATTATTGATGAATAAACAGCACAGTTGGAAAGAGGGAAGACTAACTCTGCTATATATGAGGATTATAAAAAGAAACAGTCCTTGTTTTTTAATATTTCTGAAACATTTCTTTCTTTTTTTTTTTTTGTTATTTCCTGGTTAAAAAATTAACACAAATTTATATTTTTGGGTGGGTTGATGAAAATGCTGAAAATGAAACCATGGTTTTCCTGTCCATGCAGTACTGTACTTTCTAAATTTTTTACAACTTATGAAAATTTACAGTAGCATACGGTACTCATTTTTAGTGTACAGTAAATAAATTTTCTTTTAAACACTAGCTACAGTAAGAAAATTATATTTGCTTTAAATTATCCCCCTCCCCCCCCCAACACATTGAATAAACACCTCTTCCTTATTTGGAATAAACACCCCAAAACGTTTAATTTTTCCTCCAATAAATGCCCCCTAAATGACCGCATGTAAACAAATATAATGGATTGAAAAGCAACATCATCCTCAACACATTCTATTTAATGTTCTACTCCATCAGAATTACATTTTTTCTAACCTGGTTGGGATTAACAAATCTTTATGATCACACAATAACACAATAATATTTGTGTTGTGGATCCACATTTAGTGAAATTAAGGGGCGTTTATTTGAGTATAAGTATAGATAGATTTTACACAAAAAAAAAATAGATGAGTTCCATGAGTAAACGCCGCCCTCAAAAACTAAACAATCGGGCATTTATTCACATAAATAATGTACATTATATGTAAAAAGAAAACCATACCTCTGCTTGGTCCAGTTTGAAGTGTTGCTCACTTTCAGGTATACACATATCCACAAAAGCTTTTTTCTGTTCACGCAGAGATTTATCGCAGGAGTTGCAGACAACTGCAACCTGACGATCCTCCATCAAAATAGCCCCAAAAGGCTTGTTCAATGCAAGAAGGCCATTAAACTGAGCTATATTCAACAGCTTTCTATTGCTAATGTCAGCAGCCTTACTGCAAGTGAAACAAGTAAACCTCCTCATATGATACGGCCGAAGCCAACGATTATGATCCATCAGCGAATCGGAATGTTCGTAATCATCCCATTGAATGACCATATTGACGTAGCAGAAAGTGCACGCTATACACATCTAGATGTGTATAAGAGACAGGAATTACATTTTTTCTAACCTGGTTGGGATTAACAAATCTTTATGATCACACAATAACACAATAATGTTTGTGTTGTGGATCCACATAGTGAAATTAAGGGGCGTTTATTTGAGTATAAGTATAGATAGATTTTACACAAAAAAAATAGATGAGTTCCACGAATAAACGCCCCCCCCCCCCCTCAATTTATTCACATAAATAAAGTACATTATATGTTTAAAAAAAACCATACCTCTGCTTGGTCCAGTTTGAAGTGTTGCTCACTTTCAGGTATACACATATCCACAAAAGCTTTTTTCTGTTCACGCAGGGATTTATCGCAGGAGTTGCAGACAACTGCAACCTGACGATCCTCCATCAAAATAGCCCCAAAAGGCTTGTTCAATGCAAGAAGGCCATTAAACTGAGCTATATTCAACAGCTTTCTATTGCTAATGTCAGCAGCCTTACTGCAAGTGAAACAAGTAAACCTCCTCATATGATACGGCCGAAGCCAACGATTATGATCCATCAGCGAATCGGAATGTTCGTAATCATCCCATTGAATGACCATATTGACGTAGCAGAAAGTGCACGCTCGGACTATGCCGTTGGTTGGGGTAAATTCGGAATTGTAGCTAGCTTTTGGATTCGACAGAAACGGAAAAAAGGGAACGCCCTCTTCCTCATTCGATGGATAACACTGAAGGTCATTCAACTCGGATGCGTCTTCTTTAGAACCACAAATGAAACACTTGCCGATTATATTTTGACCAGATGCTGGTTTACTACCACTGGCACACTCCACACTTCCATTTTCTTGTATCGGTTTAAATTCCTTTTCAAAACCATTTCTCCCGGCTTTCACCCACTTTGCTTTTAACTGGCCATTGCAATCCTCACAGACGCGAACTCTTCCAGAACTATCGATAGGCTTTGCCTTAGACGGGCATTCAAAGCTTTTTATAAAGGGGAAATACGGCACTGTATGCGTACTATCCTTAGGAGCGCAAGTATAAACTGAATGGACAGAACTCTGCAATGTTGATTTGCTACAAATATAACATACTTCTTGATTGGTAGATTCATCAATTTTCTGACGCGAGTTTTTATTCTTTAAATCTGGTGAAAAGGTATATCCAACTGGCTTATTGTTGACATGGTAAATACGCTTTTTAAGAGGTGTCTGAGTAACTTCATGGGCATTCCATTGCTCATAAAGGGATGTAGCACAAGAACTGCAAATTTTGGCAATGCCATCTTTAGATAGAGGGAACGCCCCTTTGGGAGGGGTACATTTTTCTAAACATGGATAAAACGGTTCCTTATTGAGGTTACCACGCGAGTGCACCAACTGCAGGCTACTAACAGCTGTTTTCATACCACAAGTAAGACAGACAATTTTAGTTATGCTTGAAGATCCCTCAAATGTTTTCTCCTGAGCCGATCGTAACCGATACTTCCGTTTGTGCAACGGCATATTATTCAATTCAAATGCTTGCCATTGTTGCAAAAGGTAGTTAGCGCAGGGTTCACACATGAGAACCCGCCCAAGATTATCCACCGGTCTAGCTCCTGTTGGAGGTGTGTGACCTAGGATGCAAGGGAAATATGGCGACTCGGACTTTGACCAATGACTTGTGTGCACCACGCAAACAGAATTATGTGGAGTTGTCTGACTGCAACAATAACAAATACTGAATTTCGGTACATCAATTGGAGCGTCGAAATCCTCGCGTTTCTTGTCAATGAAATCTGTTTTCGCAAGTAAATCTGGTGTATCAAAGTGTTCATCTACATAAGCTGGGTCACGAATGTTTAATTTATACATTTCTTCACGCATTTGCGGACTCACCTGCATTTGGGGGTCTGGACGGTTGTTACCAGGTGATCCACAGCTCTCAAGACGTTTTAACCAATACAACCTCTTGACAATTGGTGTTCGCGATTTCTCAAAAGCATACCACTGCTGCAGCAGGAAAGCATAGCACACCCTGCAAGCATCCACAGTACCATCTTTGTTGATTGTTACTCCTGTTGGAGCTTCATGATATTCCAAGAATGGAAAGAAAGACTCTTTCCCGTGTGGTCTAACTCGCAGTCGGCATTCGGCACTCTGAGCCCCGCAGACATAGCAAACTGCAGCTGTCCTTGTAGACACAGCAGCCAGCGACTGAAACGCTGTATTTCTCCCGGCCTTCGAAGCCATTCTATCGAGAAAAGCGAATGGAACACACGTAACAAACGGGATATAAAATCTACTCACGTTGATCAAACTATGAATAATATACGTTACTCAAACTATATTTAAAGTATACACTTACTTGCAAAATGGGAAGAAAGTTGAATTTCTTATTCCGCTCCTATCTTTCCACTACCGAGAAAACCAACTTCAGGCTCCATTCATTCATTCATTCAGTCCCACAGCTGTCATCGCCCATAATGCTTTGCTGGGCCCCGACTCTGAATTAGAAACATTGGCAACGACCACGTGCTTTTGTTATGGTTTACCAACGACGTCGTTGCTGACATTCTGTTCTGACAATGGCATTGATTATAATGCTGAACTGTGAACATGATTAAATTTGTAAATAAGGGAATAGTAATTGAAACATCGCTGAATCATAATCTGTAATAAGTGAATGGATTATAGGTAATAAAATATACAAGCATTGTGATGTTACTAACATAAAAATATTCGGGTTTTGTGTGGTACGGAACAGTAGGCCTATGGTAAAATATAAATTAGGACATTTCGCCCAATGCCAGTTTGCCGAGAACTTAGCCGACAGACAGTTGACCGAAAAAAACCTTCACTGACGTCCGAATTTGCCGACACCGAATTTCGCCGACTGGACGTTTCGCCGTCAGCCAATCTGCCGACAACCAATCCGCCGACAGACATTTCGCCGACATTTTTTTTTATGTTGTGATTGATGTTTCGTCGACAGATGTCTTGTTTTGTGGAGGATGGTAGTCACCATGAAAGTCCGTTATTTTATACCTATGCATACATGCACACCAACTTTTTAAATCATGCAATAAGATTCTGCTAAAAGTATTAAATAGGCCTATAATAAACTACACATGTTCATCTTTATTTTTTATTAAATATTTTAGTACTATAGAAAATGATAATCTGTAATAATAAGCACATTGTAAAGGACAATTTTTTTTAATTAGTACAAATTGAGATAAAAAGAAAGGCAAGAAATAAGGTGGGATGTAACTTACACTTTAAAATTGTAAAAATGTTAAAAATACACCAGTATGAGACGTATTACAAATATGAAGTTAAATAAAGAAAATAATAATAAGGAAATGTACATAAAAATACAAGATCATACAATAATTCCATAATAAAAAATAATTATGTAACAAAATGGCACAATATCGTAATAAAATAACTATTCAATAAGTCGTATTAATGTATTAATGTATGGACGGTGCACGAAAAATATATGTACCGTACTCGCGCGAATAAGCGCCCCGTTTGAATAACCACCCCTCCTATTCTAAAAAAAATTCCTTAAGCGCACTGTTTGAATAAGCGCCCTTCAATAATATCATAATATTCTCTTTTTAGCAAGTCAATAATCCAATCAATCCTGGGACTGGTTGTTGGCATGATTTTGAGCTGCAGAGTGGAAACACATTCTTCTTCGGTCAATCAAAATGAGGATATTTCTCTCGGACAGATGAGAGCTCCGATCCCTGGACAGACAGTATATTTCCAACTTTACTCTTTTTACATATTTGTCTATGCCTAGTCCTACTCTTCTTTTTCTTTTTCCGACCTTTAGCACATTCTCATCTGAGTTTTCAAGAAAAAAATACAATGATCCTGCCATCTTGCTAGTCTCAATCGGCCGATGGCCAACAAGCCACTACCCACCACTACTACAGTAATTGCATCTGCTATTTTGCTATTATGTCAACATTCACGCATTCTTGTCATGAGCCATGTTCTCTGGACGATTATCTTTTCCTAACCACCATTCGTAATGTCCTTATAATCTTTTTTTCATTCAAAAAGTGCTCTTGAATTAAATAATTTCCCATAAGAACCCCTCGATTTTCGTCTATTTCCATAAGCGCCCCCTCAATTCCACTCTGTTTTCATAAGCGCCCCGTTTAAATAAGCGCCCCGTTTGAATAAGCGCCCCTCAGAAAGTGCAAAATTATTTTAAGCGCCCGGGGGCTTATTCGTGCGAGTACGGTATACGTCTGATAATATAAATACTGTCTGTGGGGTGGGGGGAAGGGGGTGAGAGCTTCTGACTCTCTTGATTTAATAACGAATCTGTTCGTCAGAGTTAAATTGAATGACCAAATAAAAATAAGTTATCTGAACATGTCACTTCCATCCATTAAGCATGTTCACAAAAAATGTCGGCGAATTGTCTGTCGGCGAAACGTCCATCAGCAAACTGGCATTCGGCGAAATGGGGTGTCGGCGAATGGTATTTCGGTCAATAGTCTGTCGGCTAAATGTCTGTCGGTGAAACGTCCGACCACGATAAATAGAATACCAACATTTTAATTTACGGATTCTGTAAATCGTTAGCCAAACGTTTATGGATGGATGAGATATGTGACATACTGTATTTCGTGTTTAAATTAATACCGTACTGTGTTACTGTGTAATCGATATTTTCTTTCATTTTAGATTTAAAAGTATAGGCCCATAGCCTATATAATACTTGCATATAAGGCAAACCGAATACAACACGAAGTTTTGAAAAGATTTTTGGACGATTTTCGTATGTCGGGCGTATAAGACGACCCCTTGTTTACCGTATGAATTCATACTTTTTGCTGCTTTTTTATAGTCTTGTTTTTAACCATCTAGATGGTTAAAAACAGAGGCAATTCAGGACTTATCTTCCAAATGATACTATTTTATTTTATTTATTTTTATTAGTGTTTTACGGATTAAATCCGCAAAAAGACGAACATCATTTAAAAAATGAAAAATTTGTGTGTCGCGCATATAGGAATACCTCCTTCTTTCGGTCGTAATTTGCTATTTTAAGCCTCGCCTTATACACGAGTATACGGTACGTTATGTTTATAGTGAGTGTGTAAGCATATTCGTTAAATGATTTCTTGTGTATTTTTGTAAGTCTGTTATACGGATTACGGGTGGGCAGTTCAGCTCTGCAGCGAATGACTACCCGTTGTACAGTAATTCACTATGGCGTTCATTAATTTGATTTTTAGTGTTTTTCAATTTTGAACCAATTTACCTTTGTATTTTTTAAACGACGCGCCACTCGTTGAGAGTTGAGCGCCACTATACAAAAAAGTTGCAGTTGAATTCGGATGTAGAGTAATTATATTATTGTACCGTACGTCTCTCATGAGATGAGATTTAAGTCACCAGAGAACATAACAACATACATGATAGCAGTGTGACATGATCTGTATTATATATTCTCAAGGTTAATGAGAGAAAAAAAAACGTCTATTATTTTGAAAACAAAATAAAAGGTTTGAAATTTGAAAGCTACAATATATATACAAGCACCTACAATTGATTGATTGAATGAATGATTAAGAATGAAAATATGAACAAACGAACGAATAAATGCATGAATGAATGAATGAACGAACGAACAGGCGGGGAGCGGGCGAACACATGAATCAATTAACAAATTAATAAGGCCTAATATTATTTTAATGTTCTCCAAAGCATGATGTACTACCAGCGACTTCATTGTTCGGTTTGCCAATTGGTCTTTCTATCAGAATGTTCATAAATCCATACTCAAAAAGATTATGCAAAACCACTTTATTGTTGCCAAACCAGACAAACTGGTCCAACATCCCGAAATTTATGTTTCGGCATTTTTTGGCAAAATGATTTTTTATCAATTATAACATGTTTGAAGGGCAACTTTTCAAGCTTTAATTAATAATTAAGTATTTCGGAGCAGCTCACCCTCAAAGAATTATAGTAAAATATTGCTTAATCCAACTATCTCTGATCTTAATACTGTAATTTGTAAGGGCCTATTATCATTATTATCCGATTTTTGTAGAAATATAAATACGGTATTATTCGAATATTTTGATTCGAGTTATTTTTTTTTGTCTTAATTTAACATAATTTTGTTCCCCTTATTATAATGACGTTCTGTGTTTCTCTTGTAACAATTGCTAAGCCTACATTAACAAAGAAGACGTAGAGATGAATGCTTTATGCTTATACTGTATATATCTCGGTATCTTTTATTCAATATTTGAACATACAAAATTTACAAAAATATAATCATTACTATCCACCAACCTCAAGCTCGCTGGTCGAGTGGTTAAGACACAAGGCTAATTATCTGGAGGTCGTAGGTTCGATCCACACCCGAATCACTAGCAATATTTTTTTCGAAAGCATTTAGGAACACACCAGGTAGGGCAAACATCATTCGTATTATTGATCCTGACAAAAACAGACATCAGAATAGCATTTCAGTGCCTGCTAAGGGATTGAATTCATCACTAGCCACCAAGTGCAAGCTCAGTGGTCGAGTGGCTAAGACACCAGGCTAGTTACCTTGGGGTCATGGGTTCGATTCCAACTTTTGAAGCATTTTCTTGCAGCTCAACAATGCAATCGTTTTTTTCCTTTTATACTCATTATACTTTCCTAACAGTTCCCACCAAGGCAACAAATCATTTTTAACTTTAATGAGGAGTACATAAAAATATATGATTTCTTATTAAAATTGTAGCAATTTACATCACTGGTACATGTATATTAATAAAATATTGCTTTATAAATTTGTTTTGAAAAGACTCCGTTTATTGTATCAATCGCAAAAAACACATGAAACTTGTTTTCCTGAATCGTAAATACACATATAGCACAAAATTCATTAAACATATGTAAGTACATACTGTAAGATACTGTACTGATAAAATAACTGATACTGTAAAAGATATATTGTATAAACATTATTTTTTAATGGATATTTTGGTATATTTTAACAATTATTGTGAAACTGGCTTCCATTACACATCTAAAACAAATTAACCATTATTTTCATTTATACTGTATTATTCAAATTGTATTATACATTGTGTAAACATTTAAAAACACCTCTAAAGCTAAAGACAGTTTACTTCTTACATTGATTTGCTATCATTTTAAACATTTAGATCAAAGATACAAACAGACAATTCAAAACAAGAACATTAGGCCTACACACTAACTGTCTGTCCAAATGTATGACAAAGCAAGAGGTCCAACTGTAGGAGTTTCGGTGAAATGGAATGCTACCTCGAAAAGCACTACCACAAACTAGAAGGCGAAGTGATATACACATAAAAGTTGTTTGAAGCAAACATGTGCTGCTTGTAAAGAACAAAATTAAAATAGGGCCCCCCCTATCTGGTGGCAGTACTGCGAGATATACCAAGGTGTGCAGCATCATTTTAATGCATTAAATTTCTTAAGTATTCCTGGAATTAAATATGGCGTCAATTCCTTCCTGATTGTACTATGATAATGTGCAAAGTATGCTTACTAAAATTTATAATCATTCTTATCTCCTTGCTTCCTTTTATAGAACCAAAAACAATAGAATATCAACACACTTTTAATATTAACATATTTTAGAAAATCACTGACGACATTACTACTGACCCAAACATTTCTGTGCCTTTACCTTTTTGCATTATGAGAGATGGATTATAAGTGCCCATCAAGAGATATTGCAGTTTGAGGTTACTTTAATACAATATGTAAACATACTGTAATAATGATGATCATTTTATGCTATATACCCTATCAACTAATCAGTTTATATGTCAATTAAACTAGATCAGTACTGTATTAGATATTTTCAATCCCTCGCATTTCTACTCACAAACCTAACCGGAATGTTTTTTTCTGGAGTCAATAAACCTCTTAAATTTCCTACAAGCTCTTTGTCATCTGTTGATTTCAATAAAAACCTCTGGCAAATCTATAAAAAAAAAGGGTTTTAAGATTTAGCAACTGACACAAATCTATATAAAAAAAAAGGGTTTTAAGATTTAGCAACTGACATAAACTCAACTGTCAAATTTCCTACCCACATTTGCATATGACAGCAAAACACATGTAGGATTCTGAAGCCCTGTCTAATCTATCACATTTTATTTGACAAAAACATCTGACATGCCTTAAAGTATGGCCATAATGACATCACATCATGACCATATACAGGCACATCATGACCATATATAGGCACTTCACGACTATATATGGGCATACAACAGTTTTTTTGTAAAAGAAAATTTTAGAGTTTGGACAGAGCTTAAAGCAACACTGGTGCATTTGAATAACAATTTGGTACAGGCTCCTTTACAGCCAATCACAGGAGTGAACAGGTCAGAGTGTTTATATTTTTAATGGTGGATACATTGAAGGCTCATCAATGTCATTAAGAGCTGGAATATGTAAATTCCATTTTAGATAGCTTATATTAAACAACTAGAGTGCTGACAAGATGGCGAAGCAATGCAGAGTTGTGTATGTGTACCACCCAAGATGGCCGCCATAGGAGAGCGCCACCTTCAGGCTTAAGGCTTAGTATACATATTATTACCATAAATAAGCCCTCTGACTGACTATTATTTCATTAATGATAATTAGTATTGATAATAAAAATTTATTGAACTATCGTAGCCAAAAAGAGGCTAGAGCATCTTATTCAAAAATTTAAAAAAAAATTAAAATCGTGTACATTACACCCATACACTGCAACGCTCGAATTTCAAACATCCGGGTAACTAGCTGTACTGATCTTTATGTGTAAACTGAGGGCGCCATTGAAAATGATAGTGCTTAGACGAAATTTGATTCGCTGAATCTATGGTAGCCATCTTGGATGGTACACACACAAACATCGAATACATTGCAGTTAGCGCTCTAGTATTCTTATTATTATCTCTATGGGTACAGGCTCCTTTACAGCCAATCACAGGGGTAAACAGGTCAGAGTGTTTATATTTTTAATGGCGGACACATTAATAATAATAATAATATTTAGAGCTGGAATATGTAAATTCCATTTTAGATAGCTTATATTATAATACTAAACTTTATTGGAAGTCACTTCCTGAAGCTATTTTACCTTTGAAATTGATATTTTGACCTCCATTTCAGCAAGCCTCTTTCCTGGAAATGAAAACAATGGATTAAGTCACAGAATATTAAATTCAAAAGATGCAAATATTAATGGGTTACATCACAGAATATATATTTCAAAAGATACAAATATTAATAAATGAAGAAAGTCTTTTTTTTGCACATTATAGTTGGAGCGAACAATATTGTCAAACATCATTCAAGGTAAACACAACTAGGCAACGAGACAGATGGTACTAGCTCCAGAAATTTGCCGACATGGGGTACCACATGGTGTCCGAACCAAAGGAGTCTAAGAGCCTCTGTCAGTGCCCTGGGATACAAATCCCTGGTTGGTTCGGGGGAGAATTTCTATGGCTATAATCAATGTTTGACACTATATTTTTGTTGCCAGTCAATAATTCATTGTTTAAGGGTTGGTGGAGGAACAAACCTGCAAAATGTTGTTAACCTACCAATGCACATACGTGTTCCGTAACCAAATGGCAGTGAAGCAAATTTATTAATTTTGCTTTCGTTTCCTCTAAGCCATCGTTCTGGCTTGAATTCATTGGCGTCTTCAAAGTTTTCTTCATTTCTTGACATTGCATAATTTGCCATCAAGATATTTGTCTAGAGAGAAATTAACGGAATATAAATATAAAATATAAAAATCTAATCTTTTCAGACTGGAATATTAAGTGTTGTTTGTACAGGCACAGAATAAAACAAAATGTTTATGGGGGAAGTTTTATGGATTACTATGGCCAGAACTGTGAGACCACAATTTTAGTGATTGCCATGAAAGTAATGTTATTTGGATATTAAGCAAATTACTATTTTTGGTCCGAGGACATTGTTAAATTTATTTATTTATTTATCATAATCATATTCCAGATAGTCTTACTTGTCCAGAATGTTTCATTATAATTCAAAAAATATGTCTCAGTATTACTCTATCTGCAATTTACCTTTTTTTCATTGATATATTTTTTCAATAAATGTAATTGACAACTGTTACTTACACCTTTTGGAATATTAAATCCCCCAAGTGTAATATCCTTCTGTGGAATTCTGCTGTTGTTAGGACCAGCCGGGTACAGCCTGCAGTGAAGAATGTAGGAAATGTTTAACTAAGCATATTGTAGTCTTAAGATAAGTGTGCACATAAATATTTGTGAGTGACCATCATTATACTTTCTGATGTATCTGTATTTTACTCTTTAAACACTAGGGCCTTGGGTGGGATGGATCTATTCGGTGTAAAAACCAAGGATAACCCCCAAAGGTCTGAAGATGACGTATTACCACTTGGTTCCTCGTCCTTCTGGTGGTGATTGGGCAGTTCACAGGAAGACAAACCCCTACTCTTTACAGAAGAGTGTACTGCATTCTTTAACATGCACATGGGCCATAATACAAACGGGACCAACAGCTTAAATACCTATCATAACTTGCATTACAGCCTTCCAGCTGAAATGCAAGGAGAGCAAAGTAATTGAACCGGGGACCAAGAGATTACTACGGTACAGCACACACAGTGGCTACCACCAGAATTCAGCCCACTGAGCTAAGCTGCTCATCCTTCTTCATGATGTATTTGTGAACCCAATCAGTTTCTCTTGACAAATCTGTGCTTACAATGCTGTAGGGGTTTTCTTATGATTGAAATATGCAATACATAATGATGTCTTTCTGGTATCACACATTGGCACACTAGCTTTACTCTCAAGTTACCTTAGCGTTTCCCTGATGACACTTCTGAGGTATGGAAGTTGGTTAATGTTGTCTTCATTAAGAGGTGCTCCATTTAGCACACTCACTAACTCTGAGTGTAGGCGTTCCTGGCAGTCCGGTGCTCTTGAAAGCCTGTACATTGCCCATAGTAGAGTATGCGAAGTCTATAAAAAAAAAAAAAAAATACAAGATAAAAGCAAGGTAAAGATAAAGTAGGTAATGAACCTGTAGCTTGTCATTGTGCTGCAAGAGGGACTCAGTAGTCACACTATTCTACAACACCAGGGGTAGCACACTGCATTCTTTAAAGTGCAAACTAGCTAGATGTACACATTGAGTCTCCAGTTCTTTCTCATACAAAACGACTAGGTACAGGTTCAAAACCATGATACTCAACAAAGCTTATCCCATTCAATATTTGTCACATGGTATATTATTTACGTACCGTGTCCACACCTCCTAGTAATAACTCTGCCACGTTGCCACATATTTCATTCATCGGGAGCTTTTCATTGGCCAGTAGATATGTCAAAATGTCCACAACGTCATCTTCCTGGTGACTTTTATTGCTTTCACTGATAGATTTGCATTTCTGATTTATATATTTCATAGCTACAAAAAGAATTTTTGAATTGGTGAACATGTAATTTAAAAAAATCATCTATGTATTTGTTTTATAAAGAAGAAAGCCAAGGGCTGAAAAACACTTACCTTACAATGCATGCACATTAAAAAAACCCACTAAAACTACAAATACAATAAAATGTGAAACCTACGCACATGAAGAATATTTGAGTGTTTATGAATATGGCCTTATAATCATCATTATAACATTTGCATAGTCATCACATCACTATTATCATTATAATCATGATGTTTATCAACATCGTCATTATTAATTTCATGCTCTTATCAGCCTCGTCATCATAATTAATCCATATCCCTAACCTGTATTCCATATAGTATCCCATGCTTCAACATGCCTCCTCCAAACTTTGGTATTCAGTGAGGTGTGTAAACGCATTGGTAGCATCATCAGTGGCCATAGAGTGCTGAACATCTTATTAATTGCGTCTATAAACTCTTGCGCTTCAGCTGGGATGGAGTCTTTCAAACATCCAAGACGAGTATCAAACAGTACAATGGCCACAGCTGGTCGAAGATGAAAAGTTTTTGTTAGGATTATACTGTTTATGTTTTCAAACATAGCGACATTTTAAAATGTCTTGGTCAATCATTAACATTATCTGTACAATTGGCTTGGACTAAATCACTTTAAACCCCACGTATTTTGGTTGATATAATCGAAACTACAAAAATTTTTTTGGCACTGACGTAAGAAAATAGTAGCTTTTTCGCACAGTGGTAGTGCCAATAGGAAACAGCGGTTATATTTTGCACTGTTGCAGTAGCCATTGGAAATAGCAGTTTTTTTGCAATGCGGCCAGTATTGCCAAAAGGAAACACCAGTTTGTTATTTTTTGCACTGCTGCAGTATAGACGGAAACTGGCCCATAGCCAGTACCATTTGGTTGAAATAACTAATCAGACAAATTTTATGTGAAACTGATAATTGATATTCCTAAACACCAATTACATGTTATGAGACAAGTACATACATTCTAAGGCCCACTTGTAAAGTTCATTGTCCAGGTTGGGAACAGTGTCCCCTTCTCCCGTGTCTCTCATCACTCGTACCAACCGTTGAATGAGTTCATCTCCTGCTTCATTCAATTTGTCGATGTACTGAACAATTTCTTTTGGTCGCATCAAGGGCTTGCTCAGAATACTACGTGCTTTATGCCATGGTTCATGATCTCTAAAATAAAGGAATAATATAAAATAGATTTGTTAAAAAAATATAATGAGTCGAGCCACTACATTATTTTACACTAGAGGATTGATTGTAACTTGACCCATACTTCATTCATTCATTGTCTTTTCCAGCTATTATTTTTGTTCTGACTTTTTTTCTTCTTCTCCCCTGTTTTTCGATGTTTTTCCACAGGGTTTTCTGTCAAGCACTTTGTTAAATTTCAGTGCTTGGATCTTCAAACTTTTTCCAAGCAAAGACTATGTATAAAAAATGTGCATATTAAAATATGACGTCATTTTGAATATTAATAGATGGGTAATTGCATTTTCTAAAGTGTTTCAAACTAGCTACAGCTAGGGTAGACACAAAATAACTGTAAAATTGCCCTTGACTTTACCCAAGGTAGACAAACTAAAATTGCACTGACCTCTGCAGGGTCGGTTTCTTTTGCATAATGGTAAGAACTCTCTACACCACTCTAGCCATTACCACTGCAGCCATGGTTCGAGTCTCTGTGACGTTGAGTCGGTTTATTTTTTTTTCTTCATAATTTTCTTTAATATGATTTTATTTTTTACCTCTTTATTTTTTACTTTATACTTTTTTAATAATTTTTAAATTTTTTACTCTTCTTTGATGACATATTTACAGAGGTTTCTAGTTATGATTTATTCTGGTGATGAATTAGGTAGTAAACTGGGAGATAGTCTCACTGCTATTTTTCCTACAAGAATGTACTACATTCTTCAAAATGCACATGGCCATATTACACACAGGACCAGCAGTCATACATTTTTTCAAAGAATAAAAAAAAAATTAACTAACAGGGCTACATATTATTCTTGCATTTCAGCAAATCATTATCATTAATTGCATTAATGTACATCATCAAAATAATGTTTGTATTTGTCAAGTTGGCAACTACAATAAGTTTTACTTACAGTGTTACCAGTCCGTAGTCAAATCTCCTCAGATCTCGGTAAGCTTTCCATGGTGCAATATCAACACGAACAGGATTTGAATCTTCTTGACGCATCATCTCCTCAACAAGATCTGGATCGGATATCTGAAGGGTTTCAATGGGACCAATTTGGACACGAAACAGCGTGCCATATTTCTTGCACATTTCAATCTACAGAATGATCAGAAGACTGAGGTTAAGAAACACTTTTTGTGGCTGTCGGTCAGTTTAAAGTACTTTTCATTCATGATGGTACAGAAATTACCAAGCACTCCATCATCCACCTTCACTTTTTCCCTGTGATGTATGCCAGTCGAACAGGCATGTAACCAGGTTCATAGGAAAGGAGGTTTCCTATACTGTATATCAAGCTTAACTCATATTTAGTGTTTTTTTGTTTAAAGGGGGGGTGCGGGGATGAGACAAGTGGCCATATATTGCTTATTTAACCTTTCCTGAGTTCGGGAAAAATACTTCAAAATTCAAAATGTTGAGATGTAACGATAATTACAGAAACAAAACATGAGATGATGAGACAGGAAAATCAGGTGAAAACGAGGCTGATCACTTTTTTCAGTAGCTTGGTAGCATTTTCTAACCAACTCATTAATATTCAAGACAAGTCTGTCAATTAATTTTTGGCGAGCAGCTGATCGAAAAATCGTCCCGACGATCGAGCGACTATAGCCTAGACAATACATACAGTATAGTGCGAAGCGTGAGTTTTGTGATCGTTGTGACGGTTTAGTCAACGTCAATTCAATCATGGAGGAATAATTCAATTGAATTAATAAACGTATATCAGTCCGATGACTTGTTTGTTTGTAAAGGCCTACACCTATGCCTAGGATTAGCACAGTCAGTGTCAGATCTACAAAGCAACAATAGCGCACTCCTGTCCGGGACACTGCTCCAGTCCCACAGCAGGTGAGTTCGCACGCAGCCTTATCCAGCTGACGGTAAAGTTAGTAGGTTTCTACTACTAGCCTAGCCTAGACTTGTCATGCCATGCCATGGCGACTA